TATACAATCTGACTGTTCAGGAATGCTGACCGAAATGGACAAACATATATATATATATATGTTACTCAAATATATATATATATATATATAAATGTTACTCAAAAATATGTATATATATATACACGATCAAACACCCGCTGCAACAAATCTTAATGCTATATAGCTACACATGAGGATTGTCCCAACAAGTACCTTGTTCTCCCAAAAAACATGAGATGTTCGGCGAGTACCCGCCTAGGGTTGCTGAGCTTCTCGATCCCTTGTTGAACTTGCGCAACTATTGTGCCACTATAATAGGTTAGTTATTTTGTAAACACCTAAGATGCCCATTCTAAGACGTTCTTTTGCAGGTGAGGCCTCCAACAGCTCCACTGTGGCCCATGTTCCTTCCTCCAAACAACTCCCAAGCGACTTGGCATGTCGCAGCATCCCGGCTGCATCACTCCTCCGGGTGACCTGGAGGAAGAAACATGCACAGGTTTGAATCAAACAACGACCTCGCTGACTTGCATCAATATCGACATGTACATATACATCTCACATCATCTCATGACCTAAGATGTTATAGGCACCATAAGCTTCAATTCTCGACGCCCTCTTCACAAATCCTTGGAGGATATCTAGCACTCCACCCGGGTTCTGCCCTGGTGGGCCTTGGGCAAAATATCTCCAGCTTGCTCGAGGAATAGACCAACAGCTGGGGTGTGGCCTTCGCTGTCTGGAGTGGCTCCTGTCCCGTTGGCACCGCTGGCGGTCCAACTGTGGCGTGCGAAGAAGTGGGGAGGGAGGCGGAGCACTGGCGGAATAGCATCACTCAGTATGGCACTCGGGCTTGCGCCTCTCTGAAAACCGGAGAAAGCGAGGAAAACGTGCCGAATGCTGGGATGACATACACTCTGACATTGGTTTTCTGTTAACTCAGTTCCCAAGATGAGAAGGAAAGTGAGAGAACGGCACGGTGGAGAGTCCGAAAACTTGTAGATGTTTTAACAAAAGAGTTTCGCACTTTGGAGGCGCTCAGCAACGGTGGAAAAGCAGCGGAGGGGAAACCTGTTTGTGGGAAAGTGTCGTGAAAGAGCCATGAAACAAACCGTGGAAAAGTAGGGTGACAGCT